ATTTTCATTGACTAGTTCTATAATTATGATTAATTTCTTAATTATTTTCATTTTCTTACTTTTTCATTTCTATTCTATTATAATGGCAATTTTTGATGTCAAAGAAGATAAAAATACGTCATGTTTATTCGCATGTTCATCTTGTTAGGAGAACAGAACATAAATAATCTTTTATTTTATTTTTGGCACTTTGTTATTCATAGGTCAAGATCATTCATTTTTTACTAATTTTTGCTTTTTCTTACAGATATTTTTGTAAATTCAATGATGTCGATAAAATTAGTGAGTCAAATTTATATTGATGATTTCATTTTGATGACAAGATATTATGATAAATAATGATTTTCGAGTACAATAGATATGTTCAAGTTGAATTGTTTGATTTTTAATAAGTGATATGTCAAAACATAATGTACATATGTTTTTTTTCTTCTTATTGATATTAGATGAATAAATTCTAAAAAATTAACATGTTTAAATAGAAAAATGATTAAAAAACCGATTTCACCTTATATAAAGAGATTTTAATGCATTTGTATATATATATATATAAATCGTGTAGAATTGACATATGATTTATTATTTTAATTCTCTTATAATTATAATTCTTCTTTTCTAATAATAACAAGTTTTTTAATATGATCTGATATTTTATAACAGTGAGAGAGAGAGATTTCCATTAATCAATAGAATCAATATTCTTCATTTATTTATTTATTTGTTATTGAAATATAAAGAGATATGAAAATAAATATTCAAACATTCATATTGTTCTTAATTAAATGAATAATGTACATCCTTTTCAATTAATTAAATATATAAATTCATAAAAAGTTCTAGTTAACTATTCTATCATATGTGTTATGACAATAGTTTTTTGATTTGATCTATTGACTAATAAAGTAAAATAACAAACATTTTATATTAAAACAAGAAATATTATTTTAACGAAAAACAAAATTATTAATGATTGAGATATTTTCTTGTAGACTTTTTCATTTTAATTCTTTTATATATATTATTTTAAGAAGAAAAACAAAAATTCTTAAAATAAAATTCAACTTAAACTAATAAAGAAAATGAAATTATTTCAGTTACAATTCATTGTCTATAATAAGATAAGTTTACTTAAAAATAATTAATTTATTTTACATAAATAAAACCAAATAATAAAATGTGCAAATATTAATATTGATTTTTTTCTTATGATAATACGACAAAAGAAAATAAACGTGAACTTATTTCATCAAGTATTATTATCTTGTTTTTTTTCTTTCGTCTCATTGTAATAAGAAAAAAGATACAAGAGAATAATATTAAGAATTGTACATTTTATTATTTTGTTTTTATATTTCAATATAAAACATGGAAGTAGACGAAAGCAGATATTTTCGAATATATTTGTAAAATAAATTCCTTAGTTTATATAAATTCATATTATTATGAAAGAATAATTGAAATTAATTTAATTCAAAGTTTTGTTCTATTGAACATGGAGCAAAAAACAAAACAAACAAATAATTTACTATATAAATTGTGTAGACATGAACTAGCGTTTACTAAGGATATATAGAAGGATAGCAGGGAAAAAATATCCATGATTAGAGTTTTCATTCTTTGGGTTAGATATTTAAGTAAATAGTTGTTTTTTTAGTTAAGTAATTTATGATGCGCGATTCACTTTTGTTTTTTATTCAATATTTGATTTTAGAGAATTTTTGCAATATAATTCAATTTAAAAAATATAACTATCTTTAGGATTAATGAGAAGAATAGCTATAATCCAGATGTCTGTGATATTACAAGAAATAGTAAAATACAGTGTTTACTAATAATGAATCGACTAAATGTAACATTGATTCATAGAAGATCGAGAGCTAACGATCATAGAATAGTAACAGTGTATTTTCATTCTGTTTTTCAAGAATAAACTTATAAGTATGTTAATGTAATAAATCGACGAATAGGTTCAGAATAAAAATTTTGTTTTTTATGTTCTCTCATATCGTTTAACCAACGAAAATATCATTTAAAAAAATTGATAACTCTAATATTGCAGTTCTCGTTCATTATAAATATAGTGTTTAATATATCTTTATTCTTTTGTGTGAGAGTTTTTTTTCATTATTTCGAAGGTAAAATATAAGTTGAAAAAGAAATTTGCTCTAAATCTATTTGTTAATTATTTACATCACTGTGCCAATGAATCTATTCTTCGAAAGAAAAGCTGTTAGCGCAATCCCTTGCGAGATTCAAAATGTGAAACACGATATAACTGCTGTTTCAAATCTTTTGAAAACTGTTCTTTTCAATATATGTTGGGGTATATTTCTTCACCATGGATTACTTTACATTATATAGTTCAAACAGGATAATATTTCATATATGCTCTAATCATATGTTAGTTATACATTATCTGATAGTTGCTTAAAGTCTTCTATCACAGTCTGTGGCTTGTATAAGGCTGTCTGTCACGTCTGTGATGGGGCGTTGCAAAGAATATCTGTCACGTCTGTGGGAGGGGGGTAGTGAGTGCAAATTTCTACCCCTATACATTTCAACACTCCTTTTAGATCGTGTTTCACAAAATGAAACTAAACTACTATTTTATGATATATACCCATGGGCCGCATTCAACCAATAAGATTTCAGGAGGCAATGATTTAGGCAATCAGAAGTTCCATGAGTCAAGCACTCAACCAAAAGGATTTCAGGTGGCAGAAATTTAGCCAGTCAGATGTTTTTCGAGCCCTGCTCTGAACCAATAGGATTGGGTGGGCTCGGATTATGAGGAATCCCAACTCAAAAAGTCAGACGTAAGATCTTGGAATCAGAAATCTAACCATGTATGATCTTGTAATATCAGACGCCAATCGTGCGAGAAATTTTCGTATCTGTAAAATTTATATCAAGTCTTGATGTATGATTCTTCCAAGACCACCCAAGTCGAGAAATCAGACCCTAAGATCAATGACAGATTCTTGTAAGTCCGTATCAGATATTACAGTAATATCGTACCTGATACTAAGATCCATATATGAGAGAACAGTACGATTTTGTATGATCATGCACGACCGTCTAATAGGAATACAAAAGATTTCGTCATAGTCCCACATTATTCACATCACTGATACTGTCGAATATTGATACGTGAATAATAATTCAAATTAACTTGTCACTCTAAAGAAAATTTTCATCTGTAAACACACTTATCGGTATTTTCAGCTAAATAGAACCTTCTAACAACTAGATCTCAACAACCTGGTACCACTTGAAATCGACAGAGAGCGCGAAAAAGTTCATAATTTACACCTCTATTCGTGAAGGAAAACAGTCATGAATATAATATTCAATTCCAATCCTCATAGATAGGTCAATCTATCAATACCCGCACAAATATAGTAATTCACAAATATCCTTTTTCGGTACACTACTCTACCTATGCCCTTGTGTGTATATCATTCTACCTCTATCCTTATGGATATATCACTCTACCTTTACTCTTGTGAGAACATCACGCTACTTATATCCTCATGGATATATTACTCTACCTATCCTCTTTGAAGTATATCACACTACCTGTTTCCTCATGAATATAGCACTCTACCTTTAGCCTTGTGAGTATATGACGTCACGTATATCCTTATAGATATATCATTCTGCCTATGGTGTTGTGAGTGTATTCCTCGACCTATCCCGTCATAGATATATCATCCTGCCTATACTCTTGCGAGAATATTATTGTACCTATATCCTCAAAGATATGTATCATTCTGCCTATACTCTTTTGAATATATCATTTTACCGATATTCTCATAAGTATATCACTCTTCCTATACTGTTGGGACTCTATCATTGTACTTACATGGGTGTGGGTGGCTATTCTTCTCGTTCATACGCACACAACGACACCCACATCCACATCCACACCTCATACCCACACACCCGCACCCCACACCCACCCACACCCCACATCCACACCCACACCCACACTCTCATTGAAATGTAGTGGTCATTTTGAACTGAGAATCACGAAAACTGTTTTGAGTTCTTTCTAAAATTTTCATGTCTGAAAAACGGATGCATGCTTCAGAAATCTGTTTCAACAATTTCTAGAGAAAAGTTTAATCTTTCGAATAAATAGAAAATCAACAATATACCTTAAAGATGGATCGGAAAAATGTTCTGGAGTGGTCAGGAAACGATAAAACAGCGAAGTTGAGAAAAACGAATAACAACATTGTGAAGTGAATTGCAGTGTACCTGTGTAGAAATTTGAAACATATTAAACATCGTTGAAAAGTGTACAAAACGTTCTTCCATTCTATGCTATTTGCCACAAAAAACAAAAAAAATTTCCGAATTCGAGTTTACTGTAGCGCCACCTTTTCCAGAATTTGCGCTGTCTTAAAACTATAAAACCTTTGTACAACCACCAAAACAAGTTCAGAGCATGATTAATCGATATGGAGATTACTTTAGAGTGCCGAGAAATTCGAAGAAATGATTATACGTAGTTCCCCCGTAAATAACGTAAAATCATTCAAGCAGCCTATTCTCGTATGTGGCTTCCGAATCAGCGCCAAAACTGGGTTATATATGTTCCATTCATATATAATTTATACATATTCTGAAAGAGGACACTCAAGGCTATAAGAATATGCGCTTTTTGGAAAATCGCATTTTCTAAGCAAAATCGACTTTCTGAGATTGGGGAGGCGGTCCCCCTTAAAAAAGTAAAGTATAGAATCAGATTAAAACATCCTTAATGTTCACTTGCGATTCAGTGATCAATATAAAATGTCTTAAATTACACTGATATTTTTATTGAATAAAATAAATCTTTTTTTTTTTCTTACACATTTCATCTTCTTATATATGGCATTTGCATATCTCCATAGACATCGATTCCTAATAGTCATATACAAGTCAACTTTTCTTTCTTTTTCTTTCATTCATTATATGAACTGTTTATTTTTCAATAACAATATTAATTTATTTTACGTAAAAAATGGACAAATATAATCACTTTCTTTTATTATCGAAGGAAAATATTCTTGAAAAGATTTCGAAGATCTCCATTCATTCCACGGTAATAAATCGTCTACTTTGATACAATTCATTCGAGTATCTTTTCTTGTAAAATGTTTTGTTACTCTTAGCAAAGCTTTACCATTAATAAGAAGACGAATATTCTTTCGAAAATATGTTCTTCTATCACTTAGAAATTCTTCCACATAATCATCATGAACCCGTTCAATGTCAAGTTCAATAAGATGAGAATATTCAACGATTGATAAGTGACAATTATCATTCGTTAATTCATAAGATTGTTTGCATTGTTGTGGTTTGCGATTAATTAAAACTAATTTTTCTGTAAATGGAAATGATTGAGCTATTTGAAGAAAAAATTCATGTTCAAAAGGATATTCATCATATAATGATATAACACGAACATATGGATAATGTCCACCTGGAAATTGATTTGATAAATATTGATAATATGACATTTGAGATGGATATGTATATACATGACATTGACATTCTTCTCTACCTAGAAAATGATCCATATAACATATCATTTGTTTATATTGAAAATCTTTGAACGTGTTTTGAATATCTTCTTTCGATGGTAAAATTATTTGATTATTAATTCTCATAATCGAACGAATATTACATGTGAATTTATTTAATCGTGACATATGATTAACAATTTTATTCTTCAAATTATGTCCATCAATGAATGTTTCTTTAACTAAAATCGAAAGAGATAAATTGAGTGTTTCTAAATTTGACATTCGATAAAGAAATGGGAGAATCAATTTATCATAACAGTCTATTTCCCAAACACAAGACAAGGAAAAACACTTTAGACTTGGTATATCTCCCTAGAAACAAAAAATAAAAGCAGTTTCAATTTGTTTTCTTCTAACAAAAACTAACTTGATTTTCAATTTTTTCCGATGTCCAAATGTTGGCTGACTCCACAATGAGTGTGTGAAGTTGATTGAAACGACCATCAAGAAGATATAAACATGTATCAAAACAATCAATCTTAATATTCAATACCAAAAGAGTTGAAGAACAAAAATTAATCGGTGGATAAAATGGTAATGGAACGACATTTTGATATGATGATTCAGAAAATATTAAATGAGTTAACTTCTTAAAGACACTAAAAATATGATTGCTTATGTATTGCATTGTTGAATGATGTTTCTGATTCTGATCAGTGTCAATTGTAATTAGAAGTTTGGTAATTTGATTTTTAAAAAGACCAGATGAAAGATTTACATCTAAATATAGAAATAATAATATTAACAAACAATAGTCATGTTAATTTTAATCAATCACTCATTTATTTACTACTATTACAATTGGATTTTGAGATTTTTTTACCAGTGAAAAGACTTTTAATTGTTTCTTCTTCGATATTGAATAGGCCCAGCCCATGTATATTAGGATAATCAGCAGCACATAGAATTTGTTTCATAGATGATGATTCAGCATCAAGCCATTGGATTTTCTCACGAACTGCTGGTAAAATTTGTAAACAAAATCGATCAAATATAATATCAAGAGAAAATATGTTGAGAAATTTCTTTGAAGACCTTTTCAAGAAATTCAAACGATTTGTAAATATTGGATCTTGTAGAATTAAATCCAATCGTTCATTGATACCGACTAAAGAATAAAGAACTTCAACATTATTCATTTGTTTGAAAATAAATATAAGAAGTTCATCAGGTAAATCCTTTAATTGAACACATGACCGATTCATTTTTATGTTTAATAATTCTGTTCATTCTATCTCTCAAGAGTCCATATTTATATATGAATGCCCATGTGTCGATTTGACCGATACCGTCAATAGCGAAAAGAACTAGAAGATATTTTTCAATAGTCAAAGTTGTCAATGACTGAACAAATGTTGTTATCTCTTTTTTTTTTCTTCTTTCTTTAATACATCATATGAATAATTTTCAATCTGTAAAATATCTGATGAACTTTCAATTGATTTTTTTCTTCATATTTTTTCTAATATTTTGAAATAGAAGAGAATATTTCATATCATAGAAAATGGACTTTTTATGAAAAAAACTCACTTTCAATATATGAATGTTCATATTCTTCTCATGGATGTATTATTTTAAGAATAAATATTTTGATGTATTGAAAATGTTTTATGAAAAGAATATTCTAGTATTTCATCACTAAACTTCTATTTGAATGATTTAGATTTCTTTTGGATTTTGGAAATTGTATTTCGATCAAAGGCGACTATAAGTTTCAGGGTAATATGGGTGTGGGTGTGG